CTAAGATCTTGTATGTTGGGCCTCACAGTGGACACTATCTTCCAATGGAACTTTGAGGAATTAATGTCATTTCTGAAGCAACATAATGTTGGTCTCGCCGGAAAAAATTCCATCCAGTCGCTGGAGAAGAGACTTGGGGTTGGGTTGTTGCCTGTTGGATGGGAAGAGAGAGAGAGGGTGGGGTTTTTTGTTTTTTTGTTTTACTTTTTTATTGTTTTATTGTTTTAATTGTAAAATGACTATTTTGCCCTAATTAATATGGTCAAAATTGATCTAATTTTGACTTTTTTAGATGACTAACGATCAACTAGACGGTTTCCATCCAAATGGACTTCCGGCGCATATTTATCAAAGGTTTGGGACTGTGTCTGGCACAAATCAAATGTTAGGGTAAAATGCGCAAAAATTTGAAAGGTTTGGGACCGTAGCTGCAATTATCCCTTTGGTAAATGACAATCAATGTCTCCAACCCATAGTAATATTCGTACTTTTGTTCCCAATCATATTTTCATACATTATGGAAATTTTGCAACTTTAAGAAAAGTTCGACTGCTTACCCAAACAATATAAAAGCGTAAAATTACAGTCAAGGTACCAAACATTTCATTTAGCTACACACTTAACCCAAACATTTCATTTGTTCCACTTGAGGTACCAAATCTTTAAAAAAATTGCAAGTCCAATCCAAATTGATGGTTTCCATTTGTTTGACAACCAAAATCGTCAGTTGACCCTAGAAATGAAAAAAAATTAATATTTTTTCCCAAATAAATAAGGGCAATCTGGGCATTACACACTTTTCCCTTCTATTATTGCATTTCATCGACAAATTTCCCTTCATTTTCATCACTATTAATATCATTTTCTCTCCTACAGTTAGTCAGGAAAAATCAGCACGTAGATGGAGATGAATGTATGCAGATGTGGTTTCCCAACGTAGATGGAGACCTCATGGACGAACCTGAATCTAGGAAGAAGATTTCTCACTTGTCCTCAAAGTCAAGATCTTGGTGGATGTACATTTTCTGTGTGCTGTGACCCTTAAATATATGAGAGACCTAGGGAGCTGATTTCATGTCCATTACAGGCTATGAGGGAAATGGGAGCTGAAATCAACACCCTCCAAGAAACAAGACCATATGCATGGAAGATTTATTGTTCGGCTTTGTATGTGGAATGGTCGTAAAATGGATTTGTACCTAGGTATGTAGGATGAGTTTGTAAGATGTGCATTTTTAACTTTAGAAATTTAGGTTTATGGTTTAGGCGTAGGGTATTTTGTGTTATATGTTGTGAAATGTGGTTGTGTCCTTTTACTTTAAAATGAAGTGCCTATTTCTGTATTATTACTGGTACTGACTTTCACATTTCTATTTTTGTCATTTGTCTAATGAGAAATTAAAGATCGTATCACACTCCAAATATTTTGTAGATGGTTCATCAAAGGTACCAAACATTTTAGTAGATCATAGCATAGGTACCAAACCTTTTGTAATAGTTGCAGTTACAATTCCAAACTTTTGGTAATAGCTGCATGAATAGTACCAAATCTTTTGTAAGATATGTTTAAAAGTACAAAAGCTTTTACATAGTTTCTAATTGTTTGCACTTTATATTTGATGAATACAATTTGAAAACCTGATGAAAACACGGCATAATGCAAGGAATTCAACTTCGACAGTCCTAGACAACATTTGTGACTATTCCATTCAAAACTATATTTCACTTTACAAAATCACAGCATTTGCTTATCAGAAATGAATGTCCAGCTCTAGAGTTATACATTCATATGTCATCAGCCAACAACTATATGAATCATTGCCATTTGTTTCGTTCTCAGCATCAGACCTAAACTTTCTTATGTATTTTTTTGTCAAATAACTTCATTAACCATTTTATTTTGCCATACCATGGTACATGTGTGCTCATCACTAAATGTATTAATTCCAAGACTCTTGTCTGGTTGTTGGTATGTATATAGAACTCAATAGCAGTTATCTTGACATCTAAATCTCAACTGTATCCTCATATTTTTCACATATTTGAGTTGCTTGGAATTTTTAATTGAGTATTGAACTACTACAGACTTTAGAGTCTTGACTTATCAAATTTCATCCTTGTAAGAAATGAATAAAGCATGTTGTCAATTAAATTTTAAAATAAGTAACTAAGCATGTATTACAAATACATTACCTAACTTGAACTTTGGATCATCTGTATCAGTTGCAGGGTTAAACAAGAACTCATTCATCATTCAGGCAGATGATCCCTCTATCTCATTATCCTTGGGTAAGCTTCTAAGCTCATCTGAATTTTCATAATCTGTTCCAACTTCTTCTTGAAGAATTGCCTCACCTTCCACTCACCCCTTACACTATCATTACCAATATCAAAACCTTCACTCAAACCGGAAATATGAGTTTTCATCATTATCATCCATGTGTATATTTTCTTCCAGCTCATACTTCGAGTCATTGAATTCCTCCAAAAAAACCTCTTCATAGTCATCATCTTGCTCAGGGTCTATAGAATCTACTTATACATCATATACATGGCCTTCTTGCTCAACATGATGATCCATTTCAGTGTTAATATGTGGTTCATTTTGACCGTCAATAGTATTTACATCTACAGTGAAGTTGGCCTTAGATTGCTCTGGTTCGCATTGCTGCACCTCAGATTCACCATCATGCACACCTGGTTCACCATGTTGCACCTCAAATTCACCAACATGCACCTTAATATGTGATTCACCTTGTTGCACATTATTTTTACAGACTACACCTCTGATTCACCGTGTTCCATATCAGTTTCACTAGCCTGCAACTTAGGTAAGTCTGCTTCAAAACTACCATCAAAATCCACACCAACAACTAGTTTAGCCCCAGTTAAATCAACCTTTGTTTTCCCAACCTCTGCATCTATTTTACCAACATCAGTTTTATCAGGACTAGTTTCTATTCTGATGTCAACTATTGCCTCTTCAACATCATCTTATGCTTCAACATCCATCTTAGTTTTCCTATCATCTTGTACATCATCTCCTCCAAACACTACATACTCCCCATCTACTTCCATGTCATCTAATTTATCAACTATGCTCAAGTCATCACCTTCTAATTAAACATCATAAATCTCAATAGCATAGCATGGTTGCTTCTCATCCATTGGTTTATCATATAGTCTAAATTTTTAAACATTGACCATCTTCTCACCAGTCTCACAATCAACTACATAAACATCTGTATGTTCTATTTCATCACACGGCAACTTCAAAACCTCAACTACATCAACTATAGGCAAGTAATACAATTCAGCCATCCCATTTTCATCAAACAACTTCACTACATTCATGAAATCTGGATCTTTAACCAAAAATGATGCTTCACTCAATCTTTTCTTTTCTATCTTGTACAGATATTTGATTCTACCAGAATATTCCAACATCTTCATGGCATTCTCCAAAAGAAATATGATAAAGAAATTAGGGTCGACATAGTCTAGAAAAATTATTTTACCATGCTCGTGCACAAAAGTTACCATCTTTCGAAATAAAAATCTACCATGATTTAGGCATATGCTAAAATACTTTGTATTTTTCCATGAACAAAAAATGAAAAAAATAAATAAAAATCAAGCCATATGCCTTTTCAGTTTGAGCGATGCACATGTACAGGACAAACTATTACACAGTATATTAACTCCCAAGTTATCAAATCACTTAACATTTTCACATTTTTTAATACATAAAGATAATCTATATGCACGGCTTGTAATCACAATGTTTGATACCGTAAATGAGAAAAAAGGAGCACATTTATCATATACAAGTTGGGGAAGAGAGCATCGAATATGATCTGCAATATCTGATGGAAGATCATCTTCTTCTTCTCACATTTCATCTTCATCTTCGTGGATTTTTGCAGGTTCCATATCGGATGATGAAATGAAGAGTAACTGAATTTTTTTTTTTAAATTTTGAAGGGAAAGTGTGTAATATCCTGACTGCTTTGTCTATTTGTGAAAAATTATTAAACCTTTTTATTTTTGGGGTCAACTAACGATTTTGGCAGTCAAACAGACAAAAATATTCAATTTGGATTGGACTTGAGATTTTTTAAATGTTTGGGTCAAGTCTGTAACTAAATGAAATATTTGGTACATTAAATGCAATTTTCCCTTATAAAGTTTGGGAATTGACTATTGAGGCTGCCAAAAATTTAGATTTGGACCTATTTGATATAGTTTCAATAGATTGGGAACCCCAACTCTAATTTCTTCACATAATAAATGACTCCTAATAAAACTGTTGGAAAAATTAATTAAGCCCCTGCTTCAGTCCAATAAGAATATATTTTTTAAAAACTCATTTTTAACCTCTATCGTAAAATAGTTTTACACATATTTTTAAAAAATTTCCTTATTTTATAATACCACATTTTTTGAAAATCACTATTTATACCGACGGGATTCAAACCGGGAATAAACTGAAGTGGCAAAGTCGTCAGTTCACGAATCTCTTACGGCCGCCCATTCACAGCGCGTAATAAACAAACACCCCCACCCACCCCACCTTCCTCCTTACCCATACCATAATCCTTCAATTTTCTGTTCTCACTACGCATCTTCTTCTATCCATCCACTTTCTCTCTCTATTGATACATTTCATTTTTAATCGCATATATAAGCATCTTCTCTGCGAAGAATTTGGGATATTTTTTTTGCAGAAACATCGTTGGAAGGCAAAAATGATTCTTAGAAAGCTAGGCTTGATTTTGTTGACATCAATCCTTGATTCAGTTTCTCATTTTTGAAACCCAATTCCCCCCTTGATCAATAACATACATTTTTATTTACTCTGTTTATTCGATTAGATAGTCATTTATAATTATATACAAATTAGAGATAGATACGAAGATAGGTAGTTATACAGAGGCTTTAGAGATATACACCCATTGATTAGGTTGTTTGTTATTTTTAGGTTTTATAAAAGAAGAGGGATGTTGGGGGCAGGATTGCAGTTTAACAGGAGTAGAAATGGAGAAGATCGGTTTTATAGCACCGCCAGGGCTCGCCGGAGCCAAGATCATTTGCGGAGATCTCAAAATAGGAGTCAAGCCGATGAGACGCTGGAGAAGACCAAGAAGGTTGCTGCCTCGCCAATGTTTGAACCGTCGTCCTTGTGCAATCTGGAACGGTTCCTGGAGTCCATAACACCCTCGGTGCCGGCTCAACGATTATCAAAGGTTTAATTGATATATATGAATTATTTAACTAGAAATGGTTTACGTAAAAAAGATTTGAATTTATCGTCAGTGGTAATTAATCTGAAATTTTTGGAGATTTTATGGATTTAGTATGTTTTGTTAATTACTTTTCGGCCATGTTTAAATAGTGTTTAATCTTAAAACATTTATTTAGTCCGAAAGTTTTAGTTTTTTTACTATTTGTTGAAATGTGTCTCTCTCAGTGTTGTCTATTATGTTTCAATAATTAAGAAAAATGCGGTAATATCTATTGAAAATATGAAATTTCGGAACTTTTAATACTGTAGTTAACCACTTTAAATGTCTGGGTGTTATTTTTCATATTAAATTTTTTGCCATTGGATATGAAAGTGCTGAAACTCATGGTACAACAGTTATATGGATGATCATATGCTTTATTTTATTATGAAACTTTAAAATTCGAATAATGAAAATAGATGCCTAGTGTCTGGTTTAATTAATCGGGTCATGTAGGAAATATGAATTCATCAGTTTATTAGGCCATCTCCAACTTGCACCATAATTTGAGATAAGTTTTGCACCATTTTACACCAAATTTTGCACCAAACCAAAAATCATATCCAACCATTACAACAAAACTTACACCAAATGAACAGTGTTTAATCATATTCTTCACTTTTTTTATTTTTAATAATTTATTTATTTGACAAATTGTTTATTTATTTATTTTATTAGAGTAATGTATGTACGTGGTTGTTGTAATATATTTCGTGTTAAACTTTAAATAATTGTGTTTGTTATATTTTAAGTTTTTTTTTTTNAGTTTTAGTTTTTTTACTATTTGTTGAAATGTGTCTCTCTCAGTGTTGTCTATTATGTTTCAATAATTAAGAAAAATGCGGTAATATCTATTGAAAATATGAAATTTCGGAACTTTTAATACTGTAGTTAACCACTTTAAATGTCTGGGTGTTATTTTTCATATTAAATTTTTTGCCATTGGATATGAAAGTGCTGAAACTCATGGTACAACAGTTATATGGATGATCATATGCTTTATTTTATTATGAAACTTTAAAATTCGAATAATGAAAATAGATGCCTAGTGTCTGGTTTAATTAATCGGGTCATGTAGGAAATATGAATTCATCAGTTTATTAGGCCATCTCCAACTTGCACCATAATTTGAGATAAGTTTTGCACCATTTTACACCAAATTTTGCACCAAACCAAAAATCATATCCAACCATTACAACAAAACTTACACCAAATGAACAGTGTTTAATCATATTCTTCACTTTTTTTATTTTTAATAATTTATTTATTTGACAAATTATTTATTTATTTATTTTATTAGAGTAATGTATGTACGTGGTTGTTGTAATATATTTCGTGTTAAACTTTAAATAATTGTGTTTGTTATATTTTAAGTTTTTTTTTTTGTGTGTTGCAATTTTAATTAATTCATTAATTATTATTTTTTACATTATTAAAATTTATTTTAAATGCAAATAATAATAATAATAATATTAATCATAATAAGAATTATAATAATAAAAATTGATTGTATTAAAAAATATATAACACAAATGACACAAATACCCTCCATCAATTAGTTTGGCGAATGGAAAAAAAGGGTAACCAAAATGGTGCAAACTTTGGTACCACATTGGAGAGCTTTTGCACCAAAATTTGGTGCATTTTGGTGTTTTGGTGTCTCCTTTAGAGATGCCCATTACCAATTGTTTTGGGTAGTTTACTGAATTGAAATTTTATGATCTATTGAAAATATGACTTCATTAGTTTATTAGTGATTATTGTTTCTTATTTTTAGTTATTAGAAGTTATTGCAATTTTTACGCTGATATAGCAACGTGCAAGTGATTGTGGCTGAAATATGCTTTGGAGATGGTATGTTTTTCTTGAAGTGTGGTAATTGGTAACCACCTCTTTGTACTTGGAAGAAAATTAGTATTAATTTGCTGACTAATTCAAAATATCATTAGTTTATTGTTTTACTTCATTATTTTTGTTTAATTGGCATGGGTTTGATTCAATCTATTTGAAAATATTAACAGACAACATTGAGGGAATGGAGAACTTGCAATGAGGAGTGTCAACCATACTTTGTGCTTGCTGATTTGTGGGAGTCATTCAAGGAATGGAGTGTATATGGTGCAGGAGTACCATTGATAATGAATGACAGTGACCTTGTAGTCCAATATTACGTTCCCTACTTATCGGGTATACAATTGTATGTTGACCCTTCAAGGAGTACGGAAAATCCAAGGTACCTTATTTTCTGCCTTGATTCAATTTAGAGTGCACGAGTATAACCGGACCTCATCTGTTTGTCAAAAATGTAGAAATGAAAGAAGAAGACCTGCTGGCTTGGTTTTGTGTTTCATGCTACAAGAATGCTAGATGTTGAGATAAAACTTTGAACACATGCAATATTTGCTAGTAAAGGTGCATAAAACCTGTTAGTGATGTGTTCTTGTGCTTGTGTCATTGCAATATCTTTTAGAGATTCTGTCAAGAACAATCGTCAAATATCTATTGCTAGAATGACTAGAAGGCAATCGAAAGAGTTCTGGGCTGAGGAAGTGTATGTTGGCTTTGCACAATTTACTTTAGACCGGAGAATTTTAGCTCGTTCCCTTTCTACTGGATTTATGGATCAAGAGTTATACCAATGTCATATATGCTGTTAAGGATGTGATTTGATGGTTTCTATGATCATCACTGATTTCATAACTCAATCAAGATTGCTTAGCATAAATGTAAAACAGTCTCTGATTGTAAATGCGTCAGCCTCTGTATTGCTAAATGATGATATTGATATGATACAATAATTTCCATTACATTGCCAGGTGACTAGATCATTTTATGTCTAGGCGTGGGTCATGTGCGGGTCCATTTACATTAAAATTTGGTTGTGGAAATACTAGTATTAATTTATGATCCAAGTTTCATTTCAAACTTCAGAACCTGATTACATGAATGAAAAGTTTTTTTAATTATGAATACAATGTATGAACTGGAGTGCCTGAGGTGAAAAATTGGCATACTCATTGCTCATAAAACAATTACAACGTGTCATCTATTCGAGTCTCTTGGTTAGATTAAAACATCACCTCATTGTGCGAAGGTAGCAGTTAGTCATTATCTCATCCACCCCCTTCCAACGAGGTTCTTTGTCTTTGATAAATAGCCCATGAAATAGTTATATAGAAGGAAAATTGCTTCCAGGTTGGAATGTATAATGTTTTGGCATAGGCTAATCGAGAGGAAATACTTAATAAGATGTGGAACTGCAAAATTTATCACATTGTGTATGTCAAAAATCTTTTGCATTCATAAGGAAGGATTATCTTGTCATATTTTTTTATTTTATTTTCATTTGATTGGTTTTCAATAATCTTTTACTTGTTAGCAAATAGAAACAAATTTTCAAAAAATAAGAAAAAGGGAAATAGAAACAGCGAACCGTCTTCTTCTTCTTTTTTTCTCTTCTTGTTGTGGTCGACAGATGTCTTTTCTCTTCTAGGTGCTCCATGTTCAATTGTGCCTGAATCTTTTCCACTCTTTCTCTGTCCTCTCTCTTCATATCCTTCGTTTTGTTAAAAATCATATTACTTGATTTTATTTGAAGTCCCAGAGATGCTTAAGTTGTCATCCTTGATCAATATCATAGTGAGTGGAGGCATGATGTGTATAGAAGTTCTTGATGTATATTGTGCTTAACTTCATGCATAGATAAGACACTGGCGTGTGTGAAAAGCATAGGTTTATTTTCTGATATATTATTCGCCCATTGCATTTTGAGAACGTGTGAAAGCATTTGGTTCTGCTTATATGAATTAAACTCTATGCACTAAACAAGTGTGATCCTTTTCCTTTATTGCAGTTGCATACTGTGTTTGCCATCAGAAAAGAAATATTGCGTTTATAGGCATCTTAATTACATGACTGACTTTTTGAGTATGGTGCCTATATTTTTTTCCCATTAATCTATTGTTTACGAGTTTTAATACATAAGTTTACTTCACATCTTGACCATTTCAAGTTGAAGCTTATCGAATTTTATTAGTAAGCATAGCCCTCTTTCTTTTTTCTTTACTTTTGCAATCAATTGATCTACATGTCCTGATTATTTCCCTTTATATAACAGGAGACTTGGAGAGGAAAGTGATGGTGACTATTTTAGGGATTCAAGTAGTGAGGGAAGCAGCGATTGTGAACAGGATAGAAGCAGCTTCAACAATTCAATTGAGCAACGGGGCTATCATCATCAAACAAGTGATAATGCTCGTAGAATAGATCCATTGTCCATGAGAGATCAGGCGTATCAAGAAAGCTTTTCTAGTGATGAAAGCGAATCTGGTAGTTCACGAAGTCGCTTGTTGTTTGAGTATCTTGAACGGGACCATCCCTATAGTCGGGAACCTTTGGCTGACAAGGTCAGCTTTTGTTCCGATCATTAACTCATGATTACATATTCTGCTTTTTTTAATCCTTAAGGTTTCTCTTCTTTTATCCTTACTGCTTCTGGGCTCAAATTGTCACAGATATGTGATCTTGCTCTCCGTTTCCCCGAACTAAAAATGCTCAGAAGCTGTGATCTACTACCTTCCAGTTGGATTTCTGTAGCATGGTATCATGTTTTTGCCTTTATTTATATTTTCAATTTACTATTTTATGTGTAATGTATGTTTTTCTCATGAAAAAAATATTTATTTGTAGGTATCCCATTTATAGGATACCAATGGGACAAACTCTCAAAGATTTGGATGCTTGCTTTCTGACCTTTCATTCTCTTCATACACCCTTGACAGGTTAGCTGAATCTCTCCCTCTCACACACACACAGAATGTATGCTTGTCATTATTGTTTTATTTTCTGTTTTTAATCTTAAATTTACATTTTGTCCATTACCATGTTTGAAAAGTTCTAGGTTTTTTGTTTCCCAATAGTAAACAGAAGGATAACATGTTTTCCAATTTAAGTCTATATTGCATGTTGTCTTTCCTCTTAGTTTTTCAATGGCTTTTCTGATGTCACCTTGGACTCTCCTCTTCTCTGTATGCCTTCAACTTTCATCATGATTATAATTGCATATTGATAGGTATCTTCACCCTGTACTGTTTTTGATACTTGCCTTTGTTCGATTTTCAGGGAGTGAAACTATACATACTCCACTTGTCTCATATTCCAATGAGAGGGAGGATGGTGTTCCCAAAATTTCATTGCCAGTTTTTGGGCTAGCCACATACAAATATAAAGTATCATTGTGGACCCCATATGCAGGGCAGCACCAACTGGCGACCTTCCTCCTTCAGGCTGCTGATAATTGGCTAAAGTTGCTACAGGTCAATCACCCGGATTTCCTTTTCTTCAGTGGCAAGTGAAATCTGGATATAGCTTACCTTCCTGCTAGGGAAAAACCATAAACTCTTTTGACGAACGGGTTCCCTGTATTGTTATGCTATTATTGACTGTGTTTAGAATGGATATAAATCGAAAAGGCAAAAAAAATAAAAAATTGGAAATTGCTGCAGAAAAAAGAAAAGTAGAAAAAGGGGCGGTCCCGAATTCTGAAGAATGAAGAAAGCAAGAAAAAGGTTTTGAGATTTATGGAAGTTGGAAGGCTGGTATGCAGCACTGTGGTTGTTTAGAAAGTGGACGTCTCCTGTATTTTCACTTTTCCTTCTGTTTGTTTTACAGAACAGGCAATTTTTTTCTGTCCTGGCGATCGGTTGTAGGTCCTTATCTCTGCACTTTTAAGGGGATTTTGATTGCGAATGATACCCATGGCATGTACCCTTACTCTGTAACTTTATAACAAAAAAATGTAGGTAGGTTAATGAAATGATGTTTAGGTATATCACTATTTGCATGCATCATATTTATGCCGAGGTCGTTTTTCTCTTGAATCTGTGCTTCAGTTAGAATTTAAGAATGGAAGACGATTTTGTCTTGATAAGCAGTTTTAAGCCAAGTCAATATATACACTTTTGGATTCATCGTGAGCATAGATTAAAATTCTAATTCCATGTTAGTTGGAAAATAAAAACTCATCAAATCCATAGGAATTTGTTTTTCATGAAAACAAAGAAAATGTAGCTTGAATTGGTTGTACCTTAAAATTTTGTTTTCATTCCACGTTGCAATCAAACGGTCAAAATGAAGTATGTTTTCCTCGAATGTGATATTTTTCGTGGAAAATGTAACAATCAAACAGGGTCTCAGTGAACTTTTTACCATTGATGAGATCCTTTTTTCCGTTTCTGTCTATTTTGTGGGTTTATTAATTGAAAATCTTGACAATGAGATTGATTGTTCCTAAGATATTAGAAACTATATAGTTTATATTGTTGTGCTCCATATTACTATCCATGTGCATTAGTTTCAATTCTGGTTAGGAGTGTCCAAAAGTCCCGAACTCGAACCGAATCGAGCGGCTCTTCATAAGTTAAATACCCAAACGGATACCTGAATCGAGAATCGATGAGTTTGTGTCAGATCTCGGGTCTAGACCAACAATGGAAGAGCCGAATAAGAACCGAAATTAAATAATTTTTTATATTTTTTATATTGAATTAATTAAATTATTTTATTTTTTTTAAACAAATTATCAAATTAATTAAAATATGACAAGTCAAGCAATTGATGATTAAATCAAATAGTTGGTAAGTATTACCAATACTTAAAAATATTTTATTTTTATAACTTTTAATTTATATTTCATTTTCTTTATGCAGGCAGGCTGTTTGAAACAAATGAATTTACTTATATAAATTTTAATTTATATTTCATTTTCTTTATGCAGCCAGACTGCTTGAAATAAATGAATTTACTTTATGTAGTGTTGCTGTAATATTAATATCTACTTTTTAGTATTTGTATGCATTGAATTAATCTTATTGGATGGCTAGTTATTTATATGTTTTTAAATTGGACTACGTTAATTTGTAAAAGTTACGAATGAAATGTCATTAATTGTATTTATGTATTGTTACTGTAAATATTAAAAAATTAAATTATGGTACGAAACCGAACGGAACCGAACCCGAACGGTTCCATAATTATATTTGGATCTGACGGTTCCATTTATTAAATATCCGAAAGTTTTGGATCGGTTCAATGAGAACCGAACCGAACCGAACCAACCCACGAATAGCCCTAATTCTGGTCAATGAAAAAGAATTCACACGACGTTCATTCCCGTTTGGTGGGGATTCAAATCAAATTGTTAGTAGATTTTAATAAAAAATTATGAAATGCGTGGTTGAAAAATTATGAATTCTATTAAATATGTGATTAAAATTAATTGTTGACTTTGACTTAGATTGAAATTAAATTTTAATTCCTACCAAATTGGGAATGTGGTCAAATTAATGAATCGATTTAACAAAATAATACTTACATAATTAATGAAATTTCAATAAAAAAAATTATTTTTTTATTGAGGTAGGTATCCAATTAATGTTGTGCAATGACATGTTCTCGAAATGTTACTAAACCCTTGTTCGGTTCCTAACAAGGTTCCTATTTATTAAATTTTCTTTTTTCGAAATTATTTTCAATTACACATCACTGGATTCACAATTTTTAACAACTTTTCGATCATATATTTTTTTTTATTTTTTATTTATCAAAATTTAATAAAAAAGTCGGTTTTTTATCTAAACAAAACATGGGCTAACTATTATGGTTAGGCAAAGTGAGAGAACACTTTCATAAAGTGGAAAGGAAATAATTATACAATTCAATGTTAATAATTTAGTCTACAATACTAGATTCAGATGAACCATTTTGCCAATTCATATGCACTTTGAAAAAATCTTTGTATTAAAAGTCAAATAAAAATTACGTTTTTAAATATGTTTGACCAGTGCCTATAAATATGTTTGAAACTCTGGTACTTATCCTAAACTGTAAAATAAGTCAATGGATATTTCCTCAACGAATTAGGGATACTTGACTTTTCTGGTAAGATAAGAATCCTCCTGTGGTTAATTGCTCATTCGACGTGTGTCTCAATGGTAAGACCGTTGAAATCTGCAAGTGATTGGAATGCAGGCGGGGTTGAGGGTTTCGGCGGTTGAGCTTTGCTGGTTTTGATCGGTCTTTATATTGTCATCGTCGTTATATTTACATGTGCAAGAGGTGGTTCTGAGGACAAGGCTTCGGATACCAACGGCGATACATACGGTGGTGTTGGATGCGCCGGTGGCTGTGATGCTGGATCTCTTCTCAAGCTTAATTTAATTTGGGCCTTAATTTTCAACTTATTTTACATATCTAAAACTTGCAAAACTTGGATTGAGCATAATTTGGACCTTAATAATCAGCTGATTTTACTGTCTTTACGACTTTTATCAACTTTCTAGCAACACTTTTCGTCAATTTTTATAAAAATAAATTGCAAACTATCGGAATTTTTTTCAAGAATATTTCAGGTATATCAAGAATCTCTATGGTCTCGTTTAATTTCGTATGCTCCAAGCCCGACTCACTCATAAATAGTAAGGCTCGTTAAAATTTGAACAGTACGATAATTAAACACAGAATTTTCACGGAGATCTTCCTTAATAGAAATTTTTTGTTTTATAAAAAAAAAAAAAATTGGAATGGACACTTGAGCAATTTCTCTCTTTTGTTGGCCACTACTTGTTCAAGCCTAAATTTACTATTTTATCCGGAAAGAGGGAACAATTCCTCATTCATATAGGCGTAGCACTTTCATGACAATTATATGACATTAAATGATAGATTCATTAAATATAGAGTCACACGACTCATTTAATTGAATCTATCATTTAATGTCATATAATTGTCATATAAATTGGGGTTCAACCAATGAGGATGAATAACATTATTTATTTCTTTATCCCCACAAAGAGCCTTCTTTAAGATACTTTTGTCCAACCCATTAAAAGTTAATTTAATTCGTATTTTCTTTTACTGCTAAAAGGTAGAACATATGACAACAAACAATAATATTAAGCATTTCTCGCTATTTAAATTAAGAAATTTCACATAAATTGATCAAGTTATAGCGTCATACAAATGTCAATCTTCACTTAGGGGTCAAAAGTAGAGATGACAACCGGTCGAATTTGAGACTGGTCGACCACTCCCGTCCTCACAGCTATTGGGTATTTTTATTACCTTACTCACTCTCATACCCGATTAAAGCATGGCAGGGCGAGGGAGGGTCCCATGTCCCGTTTATCGATTTTATTTATTTTATATCTTTAGTTAGTGAATGTTATTACTTTAATTTTTGTTTTTTGCTAATTTGTTAAGAACTTAAGTTCTCCTTAAAGATAATAATAATATTTTTTTTGTTCGATAAAAAAACTTAAATTCAAAATTAAATTTAAATTGAACAGGTAGAGAGGCAGGACTGTTTCCCCGCTCGGCCCCACCCCACCCAATTAGGCGGGCAATCCTCTCCCAATTCAGGGTGGGGTCTGTAGATATCGATTTGAACGAATTTTTCTATTATCCTTAGTCAAAATGAAGATTCTTAATGTGACTAATACGAGGATGATTGACCACTTGGTGGGCAAAAGGGTGCACAAAAGATGTGTTGAGAGTTTATCTCGAAACGAAACCTTACCTCACTTCTTCGAAAGCCCCCTTCACGAGCACATTATACTACGTTTTCTATGAAAGTAAAACATTAATTTTTATATGAAGGAATTCCATTCCCATTTTTGGTTCCCACCGATAAACTACTGGTGAATTGTGTCACTGGCCCCTGACTTATTGTTTGAGTGATTGGTTTTAAAATTTTAAGACATAGCAAATTGATTCTCAACCTCTCGTTATAATTGCACAATTCATCTATAAAGGATAAAATTTAGGGATGGCAATTCACCACCCTGGACACGCCCGCATTGCCTCACCTTGAATGAGGTGTGATATTCCGTCCTAAATAGTAAAAGAAATGGTGACGAGGACTAGGAACATGGTCCCGCCCCGAATCTATTTATTTTACTATATTTTTCAAATTAAATTACAGTTAAACAACGTGTTAGAAGAAAGTATGCTTAATCCTTGCACTGCTCGCCTCTCCAAAATTTCAGGCAGGACAAAAATGGTAATTGCAAATTTGAGCACTTCTCATTGCCATCTCTAATAGAAATAGTTCAAAAATCCCTTAAATCATCATAGAAACACTCTCACTTTACTAGACATCAATTCAAGTTGAAAACTAAAACATAGCTTCAAAAAGTTAGACATGTTATAATCACATTTATTTAACCAAAATTTGGATAGTTTTTGTTGATGGAATCGATTGTATAACTATAGTAGAAAATTAGGAAAAACTTGTTCATTTTTCAAGATTAGAAATCTATTTACTATTTGAACAATATATTAAGGACCAATCGTGCAA